CTATCATTCAACCAACTGACTGTTTAAATGTTTGTGCAGTTCCAGCAAAGAAGTCCAAGAAAGCAATATGCCTAGGAAATTAGTTCCTGCTGCCTGGCACATTTCAGTCCTGTTCTGAAAGCACAGTCTCACTTTCTGTTTCCCCTGTCAGAATGCAACTGCTGCAGTTCAAATTCTTAAACTTACTACTGAAGCTATCTTGGTGTGTGTGTGTGGGGGGGGTTTGTTTTTGTTTCTGAAGTTTCCTGAAGATAAAGACAGTAAAGACAATAACACTTGTTTCTAGATTCAAGAGATACAAAAAAATGTTGTGAATTTATCATTCTTACACTTTGCTCAAATTCAAAAGCTCAAGTTTTTCTTTCCCAAGCGCAGGCAATTTAAACTACAGTTAATAAATAAATAAATAAATATTTATTTATTTATTTATTTACACTCAAGCCAGTTTCTAACCAGCACCCTAAATTCATTGCCCCATCCACTAATTACCTGTCCAGGTGTGATGTAATTAAGCCTTAATAGTCCACACTGGCTGATACTGTTTGGAGGGTTGACTGCATTTAACTGACATACATAGTTTGGTTTTGGAAATAGGTGGGTATGTGTCAATGACCCTAGGCAAATACATCCCAGAAGCAGAATTTTAAAAAGGGGAGGGGAGGGAGAGGAAAGGGACAAAATGTAAAGAGTACTCTCCCCCAAAGCAAGTACTTGACAAATAACTCTCCTTCCTTGTGGAATAGTGGTCTCAAAGTGTGATCCCTGGACCAATGGAATGACCATCAAAACCACATGGGAGCTGGGCACAGTGATGTATGTCTGTAATCCCAGCAGCTCAGGAGGCTGAGGCTGGAGGATCACAGGTTCAAATCCAGCCTCCACAATTTAGCAATACCCTGTCTCAAAATATACAAAGATCTGGGGGTGTGGCTCAGTGGTTGAGCACCCCTGGTATCAAAAAATCAAACCAAAACAAAACCACATGTGAAATTGGCAGAAATGCCAACTCTCAAGCCCCATCTGAGTTTCCCACTCAGAAACTCTGGGATGTGGCACCGTAAATCTAACAAGACCTCCAGATGATTCTGATGCATGCTCGAGTTTGAGAATCATCATTCCAAAGAGACCAGAAAATGCACACATTAGGCCTAGACCAATCTCAGTCTCAGCATTATTGCCATTTGGGGGCTGAATAGCCCTTGGCTGGAGAACCATCCTCTGCATTCCAGGCTGTTAGGCATATCCCTGACCTCTCCCTACATTCTAGTAATATTCTCTCCCCAGTCATGACAACAGGAAGTATCTCCAGACATTGCCAAAGTTCTCGGGGGCCAAAATCATCCCTGGTTGTGAACCACTGGCCTAGACTTTAGAAAACTGGGCACTTATTTCAGGAAGACCATTAGATCTTTCACTTTTCTAATCAGAATACTCTTAGCTCTCACTGATGATAGCTTATATAAAATGAACTCACTCAGCTGCACCCTAAATCTAAATGTTAACAGTTACATTTCTAAGGATTAAAGCACAAGTTGTATATAAAAGGTACAAGTCAATTTTCCTTTAAACTCTGAAAACCAGTAGAAAGGATCATTAAATCATGGCAAAAGCAGATGCACACATTTTACACTTGCTGCTAGAGCAGTCACTGGCTGATACCACCTGAACTCAGCTTCTCCAAAAGTAGAGAAAAAATGAGTGCACGGCAAAGAGAACTGGGTTCAAATATCAATCATGTCACTTTAGAGCTATGTGATTTAGGGCAGTTACTTCATTGTCCTTTGTGCCTTAGTTGTCTGACTTATCAAATAACCATTACACTATGTTCCACAATGCTCCCAGCAAGGCCTGGGACAGTACCCTTAGCTAAATGTGTTGCTATTTCCACAGTAAAAGAGATGTGTGTTCACAGTGCAAGGGATAAAGTTCAGAGACGGTCTCATCTGTTCAGGTCAGGTTTTTGTATTAAATGAGTATTCAGGTCCAACTTACATGCACACACTTTTGACTTTTACCATGTACTGAACTTTGGAACTGCTAATATGACTTCCTAGTGGAAGGGCATGCACACTGGATACAGTAATACACATGAGGCCCAATTCTGTACTTGTAGAGAGAAGGGACCCTCAAAAGACTAGCCATTGTTATTTATAAAGTACAAACTCAATCATGTTATCTGATTGTTTTGAGCACTTTGATGGCTCTTTACTACCTACAAAATAAAGTCCAAATTCCTAAAAGTGGCACACAAAAAGGCCCTTCCAAAACTGGACACTGGCCTTTCCTGTTCTCCGTCCTCTCTCCTGTCCTTTCTCATGCCATGGCCACCCACACACCTCTTGTTCTGGCCACCTAGAAATAGCTATGGTCCTTTCCCCCTGCCTGGTACAGGACATGCAGACCTCTTCCACAGACACTCCTGGGAAGGAGGAAGAACACTTCTGAGGATGTCTTCTAGGACATGCTCCTTAAACCCTGGACCCAGACCAAGGAACCCCCTCTTCCTCTGTGTCTTCCCATCACCCTGGGAGCTGAGTCCACAGAACTATCCCTTCACTCCACTGTCTAGCCCTTGGGAAACAGAGATTTCTGTGGTAGCTGTCTTTCTACATCACACATGTACCAACGGCCCAGCACTTGGTGTGTGTCAGACAAATATCTGGATGAGTCAAGGTCAGTGTTCTACTTCCTCAGGCATACATGCTAGCTTCCTCAAGTCAAGTGCCATAAATATCCATGAATCAGAAGTTATGTGGGGGCAAGTACTGTGGCTTTTGATCCCTGTTGTTACCCCAAGGGCCTGGTACTCAATAAATACATTATCCCTAGATACATGAATGAATAAATGAAGAGTACATCACATATTTAAAATAATGTGGAAAAACTCATCAGTGGCACCACCACCAACAAAAAAAAGTTCATAACCAGGTACTTTCATTAACTCTCTTAAATTTTAAATGTGGCACCTACTGAAAAGGCTTTCCTACTTTCAAGGAAGTTCCATGGGCCTGAAACACACATTAGGAACTTGAGGCACCAACCGCCACCCGGCCCAACCATCAACCAGAGCCCTGCAGGAACAGTGGTGCCCCAGGGAAAAAAGGAGCTGATCCAAGACTCCCCAGAGCAGCTTAGTGATCACTTTCTATAAAACATTTATTAGCATCGCTCCTCCCAAGAGTCTCAAATATTCAGCAATTTACCTAACATGAATGAATAAACATTTTACTAAATAAAGACCGCTAACTTTGATAGTGTATCTGCAGCTATATTCATATCACGCAAACACCCTTATTCTGTCCTTTGTCTTTTCTACATTCCCATCTTCTCCTTATTTCTCATGCACCCCTTTGTGCTTACTCCCTTCCTGCTTCACACACCCACACCCAGGTCCTACTAATGGGTCCCTACCTTGTTTGTGGTCAGTTAACACATAAGCTGCAGGAAGAGGCCCCTGCCTGCAATAAACTCACTACCTAATTGAGAAAAGGGTCCTAAGCTTATCCAGAATTGAAATACAAAGGCCAAACAAGAGCTCAGGGTTTTAGGGTTTCTCTTCCCATTCAGGACAGGCCCTCCATGTCACTCACTTCAAAAGGTATAACTACAAAAAGCAGGACTCAATCTTCAACAGCAGTACCTTCCATCTTCCACAGAATCTTTTGGCTTTTGGCACATCTCTACCTAAGACTGCTTATTCTTTCAATGAAAAACAGTTCACTCAATAAACACTTCCACATTCCCATGTGAAAGCCACTTAAGTATTACACATTTAAGGTTTTAAAGATGCTCAAGTTTTAAAACAAGTAATATTGTTTCAATATAGTTACCGGTGCCCTGAAGACCAGTGAGCAGAGGGAAGTCTTGGGTCATCTGACTTCAGAGAATGTCTGTGACTCAAAGTAACTAGTTTCACCTTCCTGGCCTTAGTTTCCTCTTGGATAAAATGAAAAAACTGGACCATATCAATGTTTCCCAAAGTGTGGAGGGAGTCCAAACCAGGATATCTCAGTAGTACAAGACAGGTCTTTGTGTGCACACAGCTAACACGTCTTAGTTTATTCTTTAGTGTTAATAGTTTTCCTAATGGTAGAAGTGTAAATAAATTTCCTTTGCAAATAAATGAATCTGTTCTTCTTTAAAAGGAGTCACTTTTATTTTAAAAGACTACTTAAAAACTACTTAGTAAATTAACAGTTCAAGTGGTTCTAGCAGCTGATCTTGAGGACTGGCATAAAGCAGGGAAGTGTAAACCCCAGTTCCAGAAGGAAGAGGTGAATACCCTGGAGGTTCTTTGCTGGGAGGAAATACCGGGCACCAGAACAGCTGTACCTAACAGCCAGTCCTCCAAGCTCCCAGAGAAGGAGACTTGGAACTGACCTGGGAGGGCCAAGAAATTCCTGAGTTGAGTGCCAGGTGAAAGGAGAGAGAAGAAGCTCAAAGGTCCTGGGCAGAAGTACCAGGTCCCACCTGGAGGGGATGGGGGTCCCGGGCCAGAGGGCGCGGCGGGGACTGGGATCCCTGGGTCCCAAGATAGAAGGGAGTCTTGAGGACTAGCTCCCTGGTCGGAGGGGTGATTTGAAGACGAGAGTGCAGGGGTCCTTAAGTGGAGAGGCGCGGTGGGGACTGGGGTCCCCTGGTCCAGAGCTGGAGAGGCGCGGTGGGGACCGGGGTCCGAAGCTGTAGGGGCGCTGTGGGGACCAGCTCCCTGGTCAGAGGGGTGCATTAGAGACAAGAGTGCCGGGGTCCCGAAATGGAGAGGCGGGTTGGGGACCGGGGTCCGGAGATGGAGGGGCGCGGTGGGACGAGCTCCCCGCCGGAAGGGCGCGGTAGGGACAGGGGTCCCAGGCCCGAAGGGCGCGGTGGGGTGGAGGCTGGAGCACCCATGGAGTCCACTCGGATCTCAGTGGACGCGAGGCGTCCTGCCGCGCGCCAGTCCCGGGAGGGCCGGCGCCGCGGACCCCACCGCCCCACACCCCGTCGCGCCCCGCCCGCCCCACCTGTCCTCGCTGGCGGTGATCACGCCGTCCTCCTTGGGGATGAGCAGCGCGGCCGTGACGGCGTCCTGGTGGCCCTCGATCTTGCTCAGCAGCACCGGGCGGCTGCTCTGCGGCCTGGAGTGGATCTCGGCCGCCATGTTGGCGCGGCCGCGGCGTCCCGGCGGCCCATCAGCTGACGGCGGGCGGGCGGCGGGCGGGGACGCGCCGGTTCCCTCGGCAACGCCGCCGCGTGGGCGCCGCGCCGTCGTAGCGCCGCGAGTACCGCCGCCGCGCGCCCGTAGTGCCTGGAGAAGCGGCGCGGCCGCAAAGTCCGAGGCCGGCGGGGACCGCAGAGGGCTTCGGCCGAGAAGCGGGGACAGCAGTGAAGACTCAGCAGAAGAGCCATCACCCAGGGATGACTGAGCGGCCGGAGACCGGAGGCGCTGTCTCTCAAACCAGGGCCCTAGGAAAATAATGGGACTGCACTGCATCCGCCCGAAGAAGCCATTGTCGAAGAAGACACACCTCAATTAAAATGTGAAAAAATATAGGGCATTTTAGAATCTACTGCAGACGATACTCAGATTATCTCACCTAATACCGATCACCGTGGGAGGTGGATAGATGGGTGTTCCCATGTTCCCTATTTATTTATTGATTGATTGATTGATTGATTTTAGAGCTGAGAAAGCTGAGCCACAGAAAAGTTCATTTACCTGCTTAATGGTGCACACCTATGAGAGAGAGAAGAGCATTTCCTAATCTCCCAGAGCTGACCAGATACTGCCTGACCCGCTTTGGTGTGACTGCAAGGTGGCAGGGCTCCTGTCTGTGGAACATAAACGTCGCACAGACCACTCTCTAACTGTGTTTAAATGTAGCCATATATGAACATTGCACAGACCACCAAAGTGATCAAATGATCCAACATGCTCCTGTCCTGGCTACTATGAGTGATTCCTATTTCTTTACCAATTATACCTTTAGCTTCTATCTAGTCTTGCTCCAACTAGGTAGAATTTGTTAAAATGTCTAATCTTAGAATTACCCTCACTTCCTGTCAACACCCAATCCAGAGGGAAACCCTCTTTTCTTAAACACCGCCCCCTAATCATCTAGCCTGAACTCAAATTCGGATAGCCTCTTACCCAGATGCCCCTCATTTCCTGGTGATGCGCCTTCTTCCAGCAAGTAATCAACCTCACTTGTTCCACTGTGGCTGTACTCCTGCTGGTTTTAGCTGGAGGACCTTGACAGTGAGTTAAAGGTCATGATTGGGACCCAGGAAGTCAATGACTCCAGCCCCTCCCTGTGAGCCCCTCACCCCCTCCACTGTATTATTCTGGCACCTGAACGGAAGGATTGCTCTAGAACTAGGCTGTACATTATTCACATAACTACTGAGCATTTGAAATGTGACGAATCCCAAATGAGATGTGCTATAAAGTGCAAAATTCATACCTGATTAAAAAAATATATTTTTGGTTATAGGTGTACACAATGGCTTCATTTTTTAATGTGGTGCTGAGAATCGAACCCAGTGCCTCACACGTGCTAGGCAAGCACTCTACCACTGAGCCACACCTCCAGCCCCACATAGCTGATTTTAAACACTCCATGTAAAACAAAAAGGATGTAAGATATTTCATGAATAATTTTCATATGGATTGTGGAAATGATACTACTTTGGATATATTGAATTGAATAAAATAGTATTAAGATTAATATGATTGAGTTTTTTCTTTTCTTTTTTTAGTTGTTGATGGACCTTTATTTTATTTATTTATATATGGTACTGAGAATTGAACACAGTGCCTCACACATGTAAGGCAAGCACTCTACCACTGAGCCATGACCCCAGCCCAGTTTTTTTTTTTTTAAAGGTAAGTAATAAAAAGTTTGGACTACAGATGTGGCTCCATTGCATTTCTATTGGACAAGGATGCACCAATACTTTCCTATGTTGAAGTTAATAACCAAACATTCATAGACTCATTTATTCATCAATTCACAAGCTTGTATCACACACCTACCATGTACCTACCATATTGTTGACAAGATGATTAAGACATGGCTTAATGCAAGGCTTATACAAGATAATGTCTAGACAATTGACTGAAAACGTTGGTCAACAAATAACAAGTATTTCAAGTACCTATTATGAGGCAGGTGCCTTTCCAAATGCAGCAGTGGCCAAAAGACATAGAAAAAAAATTTACTATTAGAACTTACACTCCAATGAAGGAACCAGATTGTAAACTAGATAACTAAATTATATGGTATATTAGAATATGTTAAATGCAATAGAGAAAATAAAGCAAGGAAGGGTGGTAGGAAGTACAGAGGTGGTGTGGTTTTTAAGTAGGATGGAGGGGTGGCTACAGAGATAAAAGCACAGACCACCTTCTTGGAAGAGGAGGGGTCAGCAGGCAGTCTCTGGTCTCAGCTCCTTCAGGGACTGCCTCAGCTGCTGAGAGGCACGGTGCCTTCACAGTGCAGCTTGCTTTCTGTAATTGAACAAGATGAGAACATGCAGGCCTGACCCTCAGGACACACTGCTGGGCAATGCTTGCTCCAGAATTTTCCTCTGGACCAGATGAGACTTTGTCAGTCTCACAGCTGATGACTCCTGCCTAATCCTGTTACCTCCCTGGGCCTTCACAGGTAGTGGCCCCTAATAAATAACCTGGTGTGTTAACTTCTCAGTTTATGCTTCTAGAAAATATAACTTGAGACAAGTGGCAGTGGAAGCCTCACTGAGAAGTGACATTCTGTGCGCAAAGTACTATCCTGGAAAAGGAAACAGTATGTGCTAAGGCCCTGAGGCTGAAGCGTATCCAGGGGTTTATAGGAACAGCAAGGCAGCCAGTGAGGCAGGAGCAGAGTGGGTGATGTGAAGAGAGAAGAGAGATGAGGACAGAAAAGTCACCGGACAGATCTGGTTCAACCTAGAGGACATGGTAAGGATTTTGTCTTTTACTTTTAATGTGATAGGAGGCCAGTGGAGGGTTTTGAACAGAAGACTGGCTTAATCTACCTCCAGTTTTAAAAAGCAGTAGTGGCAGCCAGGGTGTTGGCCAGATAGTCAATGATATAAGGCACTGGAGAGATGATGGTGGTGTTCTGATTGTCCTTGTGATGAGAAGAAGTCAGGTTCTAGACCCGTCTTGAAGGTGGAGCCTGAGATATTCGCTGGATATATATGCATAATATGCATATTCATATTGCATAATATGAAAGAAAGAGAGAAGTTGGGAATGACTCCAAGATTTGTGGACTGAGCAACTGGAAGGATTGAGCTGCCATTTACGAAGCTGGGGAAGATGTGGAAGGAGCAGATTTGAGAGAGAAGAAGAGAATAGGAAGCTTCCGACGTTTGACAGATCTCCAACTGATTATCTCCCAATAAATAAAATATTGCAAAATGACACCTTCACGTGCTTCCTTCAAATCCACTTATCTGACTGATGTCCCATAAAGTTTCAATACTTTATATAAATACAATGGCCTGTCATGGTAGCCTTTCACTCCTCCTCAGAGAATCTGCTTCTGCCAGAAATCTATTGCCTTGTTTTGGGATAGGTGTGGAACTCCTCTTTTGTTCTTTTCCCTCCCCAGTGTGAACCTTATATAGGCTGAGATGAAGCAATCAGATTCTCTGCCCTGAAGGGTTGAGTTAAGAAACCCAAATGAGCTGTGTGTCCTTGGCATTGAAGATTCTTGAGTTAAGGACTAACATGCTTTGGTCTGTTTCAGGGAGATGAGTGCAAAGGACTCTGTCTAGGACAGGAAGAAAAGACAAGGCCTGCTTGGAGGCTATTACAATAACCAGGGCAAGAGGTAAGAGGAGCTCTCAGGTGTCTGCTGTAAAAATAAGTTGATGACTGAACAAAAGAGGGCATTTGTGAAAACAGGAACAATTAATGACAGGAATCCGATCTGGGTGACTGCAGGGCAGTCCAGACCACAGAAAAAGGTACCCCTTTGAGGGTCTAGATGTTCAACAGGCAAAACAAAAGGAATTCTGATAAGCTTCTCTGGGTGACTTCATATAAGGTTATTTAAAAATTCATATTGTTTGACAGAAAAGTAATAAAATGATGTAACTAAAGAGTGAAAAATGAAGAAAAAAATACTCATAATTCCACTGTGACTATTTTATTTTCCCAATGTTTATATTTTTTTAAAAAAATCTACTGTTACATTGTTTTTAAATACAAATCATAATTTGGGGGCAAGACTTGTGGAGTAAACAGAATATTTGCTCAATGGTGGCTGGACAGATGGTCTGCAACTTTAAAACTAAAAATGAATATAAATGTTTTCTGATAAAATTTAAGTGTTTTGTTTAAACTGAAAGTGAAACAAGTTTTTTGTCTTGCGTTAACTACAAAAGAAGTAACAAGAGAGCAACTGACTGGGTGAAGTAACTTCTCCCAACAATCTTTGGACCCAAAGTCCTCTCAAGCCACGCTGGTAGGAAAGTAACCCATCACAGGCAGAACCAGCACATGCGCGTGCGCACTAAAATGCTTCGGCTGCGCATCGCCCCCTGGTGATGTTCCCGCCTTCCGCCTCTTTCCGTCCGCCAGTTCTTGGGGATCTGTGTTCCTGTGACACGGCTCCGACTGTTTTCCTTCCGGCTCCCATTGCTTTCTGCGTTGTACAATGGCTTCTGGACTGGTGAGGCTGTTCCAGCTTGGGCCTCGGTGCCTCCTGGCGCTAGACGCCCCCACGCTCGTCTTGCCGGTTCGGGGAGTAAAGGGTTTCCGCGCCGCGTTCCGCTTCCAGAAGGAGTTAGAGCGGTGGCGCCTGCTCCGCTGCCCACCGCCACCCGTCCGCCGGTAAGAGCCTCCGGAGGCATCTGGGTGGCCGCGGGGCAGGCGGGACCTGGGTTTTCTCCCCAAGATTTCTGCCCGGCGGCGGCCGCGTGTCTATCTTGAACGTAAAAGGTTTGAAAAACGTGGAAGAGACCTGGATGGGTGGCCTAAGGAGAGGGGTGTGTGCCCCGGGCGGTGGAGCGCCGGGCGCCGGTCTCTGCAGCGCCCCTTGGGATCTTAGGAAGAGTGTGGGGAATGGGGACGGCTGCAGGGCACGCTGTCCCCGGGCCTTGGTGAGGCCTGGTAGCCTGACTCTGAGGGCAAGAGGGAGGAAGCTCCGCAGCAGTGCCAGCT